GTTTGCAATCAAATTGCCCAGCTCAGGGAGTAAACAAACGACCATCTGCGCTATCTGAGCTGCCAACTTTTTCTCTATATGAAAACCAGTAACAACTTATTAACACGTTATTAGAACAAGCGAGAGTAGTTGATATTTTATCAACGAACCATTAACTAAGCACCGATGTCCGCTCGAACCTCCATCATTTAACGTTTTCGGTAAAATTCATACCTAATCAGGCATTTTGTCGCATGTTCAAGAGGGACTAGTAACTATGCATGACGCTGAAGAAGATATCTGCCACTAAAATTTGAAGTATCATCCATGTCCTAGTGGTTGGGGCTTTAAAAACCACGCTAAAAGCTCGGTTCCCCAGGTGAAAAAGTTCTTGGTAGTGCTGCTTGGTCTGTCAGAGATTTGATTAGTGAACCCACAGAAATTCGTGAATCCCACTTAAGTATATGCTGTTTTTGTCGGCTGGTTGTTTTCAGGGGATAATTTTCCGTGTTGTTGTCGCCTCGACTGGTGATAAAACGTTTGCAATCAAATCGCCCAGCTCAGCGAACAAGCCAGCGACCATTTACGCTACCTGAACTACCAACATTTTGCTCTATAGAAAAGCTATGACTCCATTTTTGAAAGATGTATGTGAGGAAGTTACGAGGCGGTGTTATTATATTTGGAATGTTGTAGACATGACCCATTACCTTTGATTAACTGAACACTACTGACGCGTCAGAAACTGCCAATCAAATAACTCCTAAACCGGACGTGGCACGGCATCGGATCAGCTCCAGTTCTCACAGGAAATCTACCCTGTTTGTATTTCAAGTTGTTCAAACGTTCCCTTGTTGGATAAGGCTTAAGCACAGAAATAACGGGAACAGGTACCGTCTAGAGCACAACAGTACCGAACAATGCATGTCACGTATTTCAAATTTCAAGATTAAAATGATCGGAAGCTAATCAAACCAGCAATCCATGTACAAGACTTTATTTTCTTGTCCAACGCCTATGAGTCTGTCCCTCATGGTATGGGAATGATACATTGCCATTTGTAGACGGGGACGAATGACAAAAGTATGTGACGGTAGATTGATGTATATAGGAAGGAAATGCACACATAAAAATGTTTCAAATAACGAATAGTCTTTGCGGTGAGTCCAACGTATGCTGGAAAACCGAAAGACACTGCAAAGCTTATTGAGAATCTCATGAAACGTCAGTGGGGGTTTCGAACCCGGAACATTCTGACCAGTAATTGAACACTTAGCCGTTTGGCCACCAGTGCCTGATCAGCAGTGTGATTAGCTCTCATTTAGACAAGACAAAATGCCGTTCACGGAAACCACACAATGTAGTCACGTACTAACTGGCTCCTCAGAAGACTTGGCAAACAGATTCATCACGCAGCTTGTTACAAACACAGTTCAACGGAGTTCTTCTGCGGAATGCACAAGCCTGTCTGAAATCAAATTCCAGGAAGGAGAGAGTCTCTACTAGAAAGCTTTTCCGTTGAGATTAATTCTGAACAAGCAAAACTCTGCCCACCCCATGCTATCTCGATGGTCTATCAAAACCTTGGCATTTTCTAAAAAGGTCTAACTTCAGGCTGTCCGTTGTAAACTTCCTCATACATTGAAAAATATGTCAGCTGGTTCCCAAGTGCCGTTTTCCTCTTAAGGTAACTTCCTTATTACCAGTCCCCCGTTGCTTGATAGAGTTGATTACATAGGTATGTTCATTATCAGTCCGAAAGTAAGACCAAACTTCCCAGTTGAACTTCTCAGTAATCTCACATTTTGTGTATCGAGAATATTCTTTCTCCCTCTGAAACAAATGCCAACGATCATATAGTGAATAAGTACCCCTGTAGGCCAAAATGTGACGGACAGACTTTTTTCTAGGGTAGATAAACACATCTGACTCTATGAACAGCGCACTTAGTTACAAGTGTCAACCAGTAAAATATTAGTCTTGAGTAGCTCTCAATTCTGTTGCTCTTGTGTTGACTACCTGAAAATCTTCTTGAGACAATGCCATTAAAAAGCCCTCAGATAAACTTGCTAGGGAATGTCAGATAAACGCTAAATCAGTCAAAATGTGACAATGGCGCTGGAGGATGAAAGGTGCCAAACCATGTCTACGTGGGAGTTAATCACACTACTGATCAGCCGCCAGTCGCGGAAAAGTTTATAGTTCACTTGCTCACCAGAAGATCGCCCGTTCGAGTCACCCTGGCAATTCTTAAGATGCTCACTACCGATTATTCCCCGTAAGGATGGAACAACTGTGTGGTGCTACGCGGTTATTCAGTGTAGACTGGCTTTGCTTATGTGCCGAAATTTTAATTGAAACGCTAAGTAGTCAGGCTAATCCTCTGGTTCAGTATTGACCTGGCAGCTGAGTAAGTTATTTGGACAAATTTAGAGACTTATATAAAGGCTTAGCAACCAGAGATTATTAGTCTTCAAATGCCCTCAGTTGAGTACGCGGAGTTTGTCCCATTTCGCCTCCAATGTATCCACGTATTAATTTTCCAACACAGTGTCAAGTTCCTTAACTCATCTGCCATCAGATTTAACCACACGCTAACCAACCGATGCCTTTGACCTACACTGAACCTTCATTTAGTGTGTCTGTAGAAGGTTATCATGTCTGGCGTTTCTCTGTCTGCATTAGAACTCAAGGAAACCTGTGTCCCTCTTCGACTGGTCTTCTGAGATGAAAACTTGGTCCGGCAATTAATCTAGCGGCTATTTGTCATTACTTTCTAAAACAGTGTGTCATTTTGTCTTGCTGTTTGCTGCTATACACCTGTCTTATAGATGTTGCAAATTTTGTGCCCATGGCTTCTACAACTGTTGTGACTTGATGTACGGTAGTACAACTCTGTATCGGTCCCTTGGCTTTCTGCTCCGCCCACTATGGTGTATCAAAAGGCACGGTAATTCTGGGCAGCCCTTTATGGTGACAAAGGAAAATTAGTACATCTGTATTTATAGGGAAGTCACAGGGTGTTCCACAAGGTCGTACCAGAATCTCCGTGAAGGGGCGAGAAGCGTCGAGTCAAAGATGCTCGACTCGGATTGGCCGATATTCTGACCAATCAGGGCATACCCTCGTCTGGTCCGTGTCCTGCACGTGACAAATGATGTGATGTTCAGTTATTAGGGACGGCTGGCCTCCGGACAAGAACCAAAGTATCAGCACATCATGAATTACATTTTCTCGCTGTTCTGTCTTGTCAGACTTGTGAGGACCGATGCATCAATCATTCTCAACTGACCAAAGATGACGTGGCAGTGACATGACTGCTAGACCAATCACTTAAAAGATGTTAGACATCTTTTGGTCAACCGCGTAAACAACGGAATTCAGAGAGAAGCACAGTTGAAGCAGCGTAAGGAGGATTGCTCCTTACCACATTAATGACGATCATTTGCTAATTACCTGACGTGACAAACAGTCAATGAACTCAAACAAGTTACGTATATTCAGTTTAATCGAACACACTGAGTACTCTTTATCTGATCATTCTAAACAGTAAGAAGACAGACTACGAGGTATCACCATTTTATTTGCTGTCTTCAATCTTCAGCATTAATTGCTTCACATTTCAAGGGCTTGATTTAGTTTAGGATGACCCTCAAACGCAAGGTATACATGTCAAATGAGCTTCGAGACTGGGATATCACTGACTCATAATGTCATGAAGCCTGGATTAATCTTGAACAGTCAGCAACTCGTGTTTCACTCCCGGCTAGATAACTTCCAAGCATCGCACGCGATCACAAACACTCACTTAGGGAAATCAAAATATTCCGGCACAACGAGTTGTGAGGCGTGACTAGATGGTAAAACAGTCATTCAGCAAGGTGTCATATAATAGTTTTTGATGCTCTGTCTGCGTCCATAGATCTCTGAATCTAAAAGCCATTAGTTAACTTGACCTTAGCTTTATATAAAAACGTTTTGTAGAGCTCGGAGTCCACCAATGTGTTCCTCTGTTGCGATCACTGACGATGCTTGAACCGAAGGAACATCCAGCTTGGTATATGGTGGGATATGAGTGGACATATTTCGAGGAGCCAATCTTTGCCGATCTTTGACGACTTTAAGGGGCAGACAAAAATTTGCCCAAATCGCTTGTTGCTCACATACATACAGGACCGTTGTCCACATGAGAGCCGGCAATAGATCAGTGAATTATGCGAAACTATACTATTATTCAACCAGGCATCAAACCGTATTTGTCTAACAAAGGAATAGATATGGAAACCTTTGCTATCTGGTTCAAAACGAATTGCAATGTGTTCACCAAACGTCACAGGTTGTTCCCATTCCTTCTGCCCCAGCAGTCACCGGGTAAATCAACAGATATGGGATCGCACACCTCTAAATTGGAGAACGGAACGAAAGGGGACCCAAGCCGTGTGAGTTTCTGCGGATGGATGGCATACCCTGTTTGTGTCAACAATGGGCTCCTTATCTTCTAGACTGTCCCAGGGTTCATTGCCAAGTGTCTCGCAGTCACAATGGTAAAGTTAGGCCCATGATTCAACGCAGAGGATTCAGGTGCAATGCGGTTTAACTTGAAGGTTTCAGTCTTGTTCAGGAGGAATTAACGAGTGACATAGTTGTATCTTGTCAAACAACCAAGAAAACAGGCATAAGTTCGGCAGTAATAGGTAGTTATGAAGAGGTGAGGTAAATCGGATGAGCGAATCTCTCTAAGGTAAAAGAGTCCGGTTGAATATAACTTCATTTTAATAATTCTCTTACTCTAATTATGTCAAGAAGATTGAATGAAGATGGGTCTGCCACCATCCTTCAATAACCTTGCATCATCAAGCCGATTTGGAGGCAGTTAACGAGCATCCAGAATGACTTCATGTACCGCCACTAAGCTGCCTAAAAGAAAAATGCACCTCTAAAAGAAAAAAATCAAGAACCAACTTTGGTACAGCCCATATTACTACTTACTACTAGTAGTATTGTGAAAATAGTTCACATAGATGGGCTCCAGACTAACGGACGACAAATCCTTTGAAGACGTACGTCATTGTCAGACGGCAACAACGTTCAGAGGTCCATAGATGTGGTTATGAAAATGCGTAGCAATCGGTCTTACTATTGGCGCATGATCTTCTGCCATACTGTTTCACAAGCAAGAGGATTTAAGCCGTGAATAACCGCCAAAACTATACACCAAATTCATCACTAATTAGAATATTTTAAGGCTGCTGCAGATAGCACACTCCAAATTAGAAACACTTCTGATGAAAACGCAACTGAAACAGCTGCCAGCAATTACTGGTAAACTGCTTAAAACATATGAAACAATTCTTAGTAGTTGCTTCTCTTGAGAGAATACACCCTTCTTGAGGCAAAAGTTCTCTATCTCTGAAAATGCTTACCGTTTTGATATTTACTGTTTGGCGGTATATTTTGTACTGAACAGCAAATGACCCCGTAATAAAGGACGATCGGTCTGTGCTCTGAGCTTGCGCGCGTAACAGACAGTTGGCCGCACACAGTTCCCTGTTTTATACAGACTGACCCGTGAACGCTCAAGCTCTTAAAAGTGGATTTTGGCTGAACCTTGATGCCTCGTGTAAACTAGACCCCTTGCCATTCCATGAGATCTTGTCAGAAAAAAATCACTCAAGACTGCTAGTCTTGAGTGGGACAACCGTAGCATACGCAGAACGTATGTGCATCGTGGAGAAGCGGTTTTCGTGGATCGGCTCGAACCATGCCCCGAAAAAGAGCGAATTTTCGATCAACTCACCAGGACCCATTTCAATCGACGTCCCATTATTGATACAGTGACAAGGTTGTGGTCAAGTAGTGAGGAACCAAAGGTCCAGATAGAGTATTTTTGCTAAAATGAGAGAGATAATAACGTAGGATGCAAAATGAAACACCAAAGTGTGCTAAGTGACGAAGATTAAACGTACCTGTGTGTGTTGCCTTGTTGAGCTAAGCCCAAGCTAATCAAGGAGTCTTTACGGGAAAACATGATCTGCGCTGCACAAGATTCCCCTTTCCGTGCATCCAAGAGTCGCCAGATATTGTACCTTTGCGGTACTTTATCGGTCGATCTGGTTAAACGGCTGCCAAAGTGTTCTGTCACACGTGCACAGTAGTCACTCTTGGGAACTCGGAATGTTAGGGGACATAGTCAACAGAAATATTTTCCCTTGTAGCTACATGTACAAATTCGGGCACTAGGATTGCGCGCTTTATTTTACTTGAAAGAGAACCCTATGGACCTAGAAACGGTATCGTCTTTGCATTTTATTAGAGTGGAAGGGAAACACAGTCTAAATTGCTTTGACCTTGACATACAAGGGCCGATTCCAAGAGCTTGTGCATTCCCGTGTTCATAAGAATAGGTATAAACACAACTCGATCTGCGACCAAGTTTTGAGGTGCACAGTTAGGGGCTTCAAAATTATGATCAGATGAACACATTCCATTACTCTACTCCCCTCCCCCATTGCTTTGTCATGTGCACCAAAGCTACAAGGGGCAACTAACCTTGGTCAGACAGGTAGGTTTCTCGGTGAGTGGCCTGCCATACCGGTCAATAGCCGTCGTTAGCTCACAGGTCTTGAGGTCTTAAACGACTTGCATGACCCGTCAAAATGAGCAGATGGTTGACTTGTATGACTGAAATGATTCAAGTACGTCTTCACCACAAAAATGGCTAACGAAAATTGACCGCAAAGCAGGAAAAACATTAAAGAGGCAAGTAGGTAGGCAAGGCTTCCTAGAGTCGAATTTTGAAGAGTTTCAGGGTTAGTGCGTTGCCTAGCTGAAAACGGGGTAATTGGATTTTATGCATAAAAGTGCTGACAAGTAGTGTTTGAAGATGATTTCTCATGTGACTTCAAGATCACTTTGCTGGGAGACCTGAATGTAAAGGATGACATACTACTGAGCATGCGTGGATAAACTGGGAGATAGAAAATAGAGAATAAGACTAGAATACAACTAGAATACAGTGAGCCGAGGCACGTAAGCATGATCAGAGAGATGAGCTTCAGGCCTCGTTTGAACGAAAAAAGTGTTTCTCAAGTAGGCCTGGGAAGGGCGACAGAAGAGTAGCACAGAATGGCAGGAAACACACATTTGCGTAGGAATTCGGAAAAACAACTTACGGGAGCCAATTTAGTTAGATAAAACGAGAGTTCATTCAGCTGTGAAAAGAAGTCACCATTGAGCAGTCG